TGATGATCCATTTGTTTGTTTTCTTGGCTGTCCATGGCATTCTCAGGACTCTTCTCCAAAACCAAAGTTCAAAGGCGTCAATACTCTTCCTATCCTACTTCTTTAAAGTCCAACTTTCGCTTTCATACAGTGTTACAGGGAATACCATGGATTCCATGATTCTGATCTTTGTAGGTATGGACACATCATGGCATTTGAATATCTTTCCAGGGCCTTTATGGCTGCTCTAATAGTAAGAAAAATTAAATAGAATGGATAGCAGTCCCCTGTAATGTGTTTGCACATGTTTATCATTCTTTAAGATTAAAAATACAATTTTTAGATTTTTTTATCCCACCTTTATTTTTTATAAATTACTCAGGGTGGCAAAAAAACCCTATTTTCCCCACAACCACCACCCTGTGAGGTGAGTTGGGCTGAGAGTGACTGGCCCAGTCACCCAGCTGGTTTTCATGTCTAAGGCAGGACTAGAACTCAGTCTCCTCGTTTCTAGCCTGGAGCCTTATCCACTAGACCAAACTGGCTCTTTATTTACTACTTTTGGAAGTCTATTGATGTTAACGTTTAAGGTTTTCCAGGTGTATACTATCATTGAGCCCTGGAAGATACTACGTCTGTGTAATCTAGTCAGGGCTGACAGGTATTTTGCCACTGAATTTCCATCGGGAAAAATGCTAATAATCTGGGATTTGGGAGCCTGGGCTAAGGATGAAAATGAGAGTCATTTACCTCCAAGAGAATTTCAGACAAGGCCCTTCCAGTGATGTTACCAACAGTAATGGAAGATCAAAAGATCAAGTTGATAGCCCAATGGTTGAGCACAAAATGATGACTCCAGGAGAAGCCTATTACCATTTCAGATCAAACCGAGATTCTAGAACAGGTTACCTCTGTAAGAGTTGTTAAACCTAGAAACCTTCCTAAACTAACTTTAAATAAAGCTTACATAAACTTCAGCAGAGAGAAGATGAAGAAGGGCAGGATCATTGCAGGCTAGAGATAAGACAGGTAGGTAGTGGTCCTGGCACTATGGCAGAAAGTTAAATATGAGAATAAATATGAATGGAACAGAGAATGAGTGGGAATGATGCATAAACAAATGAGATTTGCTTTGGTATCTATTTACTGTATGTGAACTTGTACGAATAGATACATGTGTAAGCATGAGAGAGAAATGAAATATGGTCCCTACTTTTCCCAGTTGGCCCAGGCAGGCATCCTGTTTCTTCTCCATGGTTTCCACCTCCAATCTATTTCACACCCAGAGATTATCATACAAAATGCAGTCCTATGCAAAATAACTATTGCTGTATTGTTGTTCTACCGATTGCATAATTTGAGTCAAATGTTGCCTTAAAAAAAGATTTCATAGAAGACATTTCATAGAGACCTCCTCTGTTGGAACCACCTATTTCTGGGGAGCTGGATCATGACTGCCCACCTACAGTGTTCCTAACATGTTTTGCATCTGACATAGCTGATCTTAGGAAACCATAAATTATAGGTAAAACATTTTGAATTTTTAAAAAGGAAGCTTCTATTTTTATTACTTCTTGACATTTAAAGTATCATTATCTCCACTGGCAAACAAAATCATTTTTCAGCTGACTAGATATGTTCCCCTAAGACCATACTGGAATCTGAAACAACAAATTGACTGACTGTATTATTGGGGGGGGGGAGGAGGTCCCTTGTAACAATTTTTTACTGAGACTCCTGCCTGCCAAGATGTAGAGAAGGGTGCATAGTTTCTCTTTGCATAAGTAAGTAATCAAGGAACAACTTATAGATGCATACATGAACAGCTAGAGAGTATCTCCTTCCAATAAAGTTTCTTGTAGATAGCATGCATCTTTTACAGGGCTGTGTAGCGCTTCAGAAATAATCAGGAAAAATTGTTCTGGAACATGTGCAACTGCAAATGTAGCACCTGTCTGAGACTCTTTAAAGCAGTTGTGTCTTTTCCCATGATGGTGCAATTGCCCCTTGATCCTAGAAAAAGACAAGGCTCCTTTAAAGAGTTGCAGAAAAATACTATTTTCCCATTCCCACATAACTTGAAGCACTGTTTTGAAAATGAATCCAAAGCATTGCATAGGTCTAAAGTTTAATTTATCCATTATTTTGTATCAGTTATCGAAATGAAAATGTCTATTACTGCTGATCACATCACCGGTCACAAAAGATTACTCAGTGTTTCATATTAATATATAAAATCCTTTAGCTAAGCATCAGTGATTGAAAATATGTGCCTTATGAGTCTATGCCGCTCTTCAAAAATAAGGTTTAATGAGAAAAGCTCTGACTATTCAAAGCACAGAATTCCTTAAAATATATGTACAAGGGATAACAGAAGCATTTACAGTATACAATGCTAAAAACAGTTTTTTTAAAAATCTGCACATTTTTTATAAATTTTTATAAAATGAAAATACAATGGATTTTTTTTAAAAAATCATCTATAACAAAAACATTTCAAAGAAAAACCAGTCAAAACAATATTCTTTTTCCACTTGAGGCAAAAAACTATAAGGCATGTGGTTCTCTCTGGAAACTTTTGAATATATCTTCTATCCTGTTTTCTTGTCTACATGATCAAGGACATAGCATTTCATTCACAGTGCCCAAAGCAGCTTCACACAGCATTCTGAAAAATAAAAATAGTGAACAACTGCATAAGATATGAATGACAGTAAGTACATTTGTTCCTCTTTAGCTCTAATATGACACCTGATGCAGATGAGACATCACCGAAAGTTAATTGCTTCATGGCACTATTATTAGCAATGCGTGCATGGCATAGATCTCTTGTTCCTACTATGGATTTTATCCCTTTGCAAGAGCAGGAGCAAAAAGCTGTTGTGAAGAAATGGGAGCTGTATGCATGCCATAAGTAGAAGCTCTCTCCATGCAACCTATTTCCCACTGCATCTCCAGATAAATCTCACTGTCTGCATGGAATGATCCACATAAAATAGCCTGTAAAAAAAATACTGATTGCCCTTGATGGATCCAAGGTCACCAAGATGTGTCAGACTTCCTACAACACTGAAGTGGTGGCTGAGCTCACAAATAATGTTAAGCAAGGATTCTTAAAAACATCCCAGATTGATTCAGCCACAGTGACTTGATTCGCAGCTAATATTAAGCTTTGATGGGTGACTTCACATATCCAACGAAGTTGAAGTGGAAGGATATGATGGATTAACTTGGTCTTCCCAACTTGTGGACCAGAACTGCCAGAATTCTCCATCTAACATGGTCATTGCTGAGATTCCTGGGAGTCCACAAATGTGGAAAAAGCCCAGGTTTGGGGCAGTTGGCTTGGTGTTATTTGTATTAACCAGGTCAGTGACTACATTGAGATATCATGCTAAACTGTGGTGTGACATGATGAAAAGAAGACAACGCTTCCTCCTTTCTCTCTAATGCAGCAAGAGGGAGGTACATAGAAGCTTCTGTTTTCCATGAACAGCAATATAATGTTTACCAAAAGGAACTGTAAGCTTCCCATGCAATTAGCTGTATACGTTGCTCAGCTTCTAGATTAAAACTCTGTATTGTTCCACCAATTTAGATGCAGCAACTGAACTTCAAAGAATGTATTATTATCGACTGTCTTAACACTACAGAAACCATCCATGACCCCTAGATACAAATACATATATAAAATAAAAGCTCTTAAAGAAATAAAACTCCTCCCAAATTACCTTTCCATGCCATTATCTTCCTTGGTAAACTCACTGTACAATGTTAATTTTCTCTGAAGGGTAGATGCAATGTCCTTCACATATGAAGGGTTTTGTTTACCTGTCAAAATACATGATTATATTGAAGACCTGTGAGACTTATCGGAAAAGAGAAATATGCCTGTTCTCTATGGCAGCAGATTAAAAGCCCCTAGACTTCTCTTCCCCTTGGAAAGCCACTTGTTTTAAACCCATCTAAGTATTGCTGAAGATTGGGGGTTTGTTTCATCGTCCATCAATACTTATACAACTACGTTTGCTTTTTTAAAGACTATGTACCCAGATCCTTCCACAGCATTTCCCAGCCCACTTAAACATTCACTGTGCTGAATAATTTGGTATCTGTAGCAAATCTCATTATTTCACCAGAAGGCATATCATTTATAACAAATGCTATCGGCCCCATACAAACCCTAGTGAAGTTTCATGGTTCTCCCAGAAGCGAGGCAAGAACTAATCGCTCCTGTTCCTTCACCCTGAACCGCCAAAAGCACTTTGGAAATTCAGAAACTGGAATTAATCTTGTACAACTTCACTGGATTAGAGAGACTAGCTTTTGCTCACCTTCCATTAAAGCAACAATATACACAGAAGCGGTAAGACTAATAATTCCTTCAATTTCTTCAGACTCAATGGATTCCATTAATTCATGTAGAAAAGACCTGAGTAAAATATGCATGAAATTAAAGGTAAACAGATTAGCTATCAAAGTATGAATTCATGAACTTGCAGAATGTTTAGGTTTTAGAACCTTTTATGAGGTCTTCATAAGACTGTTAGAGGTTCTCAGCATTTACTTCCATTACTCTCATTTTGCAACCTTTTGAAATCCAGTCCTTCCTCCCTCACCAGACATTGCTTCCACCTTTAGCATTCAGACCATAATCCTCTCTCTTCCTTTCACAATCTCTAATGCTCCTTCTTTACTCTCCCTGTTCTAATATATTTGAGAGAGAGCATGGAACAAAATAGAAGGGATTTTATTTCTAGAATCAAATATATAATTTCTGCCTTTTGAAAATGGATGGGGGTTCTGGAACTGAGAACCACAAAATCAGCAAGTCTCCAGAGACCAAAAGCCATATTCAAGTGGAGAGAATAGCATTCCAGATTCATTTAGCTGCACTGATGCTTTAGAGGCATCAAAAGTAGGTTTGTAACATCCTTTCAGCTAAAAAATCCCTTCATATTTGTATAGCCAGCATGGGCTTCATCTAAGCATGAGCAAGCAGTGAGCTACAGCTGCCAAAAGAGTCACTGCAATCTTGGGTTGCATCAACAGAAGTATAATGTTAAGATCGGGGAAGTGATGGTTCCAGTCTATGCTGCACTATTCAGACCACACTTGGAATATTGTGCCCAGTTTTGGTCATCATAATGCAGGAAGGATGCTGAGGACTGGAAAGTGCATAGAGAAGAGCAACAAAGATAGTGAGGGGCTTGGAGGCTAAATCTTACAAAGATTGGTTAAAAAAACTGAGTATATTTAGCCTAAAGAAGAGATGGCTAAGGGGAAACATGATAATACTCTTCCAATACCTGAAGGGCTGTCACAAGGAAGAGGATATGAATTAATTCTCTGTAGTGCCTAAGAGTAGGACAAGAACCACCAAAGTGAAAATGTCCTGACTATGAGAGCTATGAAGCAATCCTAGAGTCAGGGGTGGTCCATCTCTGGAGGTTTTTAAACAAATGTTGGACAGCCATTTGTCTAAGATGATCTGGACAAGGGAGATGGACTAGCAGTCTCTTGTTCCCATATATTTAATATATAATCATATGCCCACAGTGCTCGGTCAAAAAATTATATTCATTGTTTTTATAAAGGCAGCTTGCAGTTTTCTCATGATCAATCAAGATTGATGTTTCCTTCATGGTGGACCTTGAGCTATGGACTGATATCCACGTGCTCATCCCTCGATACAACCTGTAATTGATGCTGTTAAATGCAGATCCTTCCCTTTACAAATATCTGCTTTTTTTTTTTTTTTTTTTTTCCCATGCTCAAACTGGCCTCCCTACAATGCTGAGCTTTGGAACATGAACTACAGTAATTGGCTGGAATAGCCCCACAGACAATCTAAAAACTTGACATGCTATTTTAATAAAGCCAACAGCTTATGTTCCAGAGTAGTGACCTAGCAGAAGTAGGTCTTTGTATGAGTGTAAAATCAATTTTCCTGAATCACTGCTCTGCACTGATAAGTACTCAAAAGTACTAATTATTTCAAGAGTTCCTTTGCTTCCATTTTTCATGTTAAATGTAAGAAAAAGGTGTCTGAATGTTTAAAATCCTGTTTTGCCCTATGATTCAATAGCATTTAACGAGTTTTCAGTAAACTACCACTAATACTACTAAATTATAGTTCTAATTTTTAAGAAAGGGCTACTTGCAAATGGACTGCAGTTATGAGATTCCAGGAGTATTTGTAGAATATATTCAGTAGTTCAAAAAATAAAAATAAAAATCCAGTTCAAAACCAGAATTGCATATAAGTTGGTCAATATCATGGTCCTTAAGTATTAACTGCTCCAGTTCTTTCTTTACTTTGTCAAAACTTTTTGGCTTAATTCTAGAATTGAGCAATGACATAAGAACATAACAGGTGAGGTCACCAGCAGGGCACCAGAAGAAGAAGACAAAAATCTCTCCTCCATTCTGAGAACAGAAGCAATACTGTGGGAAAACAGAAGAATCAGGGCTAAGCGGTGGTCAAAACCCCCTCTCCGCTTAAAAGAGAGCTTACCTAACCCCATTTGCTGATTTATTCACAATCGCCATTAAAACGCTCGAAAGCGGCGGGAGATCTAAGAACGTCTTAGGTGGTGTTAGCTCTTCTGTATTTGGTGCCTGGAGCAAAAGAAATATAGAGGAATGCTTCCAACAAACCAGAAGTCAATAAACAGAAGAAAAACAATTGGCATTTGATATTACTTTCCTCAGTCTTTTACGATCATTGAAATAGCTACTGTCTGGAAGGAGGAGGAAGCCAGGCAGCATAATCCTGTGGGTGAAGAAAGAACAGCTGCACAGCTGCAATCATGCTTTCTGGAAGGCGCATAATATCATCCCCCTTTGAAGGCTAAAAGCTTGACTGACAGCTCAGGACCTGTTGCCTTGAGCCTTGGAAAAAGAGGTTGGAGCCAGCCATTTTCTGCTCAGCCCCTTCACACCACTCGAAGCAATCCCAAAATATTCAAGGGAAGGTTTCTTTTTACCGCAGACGAGCATTCGATAACAAGGGCCATCTAAGAATTCGAGAGCCCTTGTTCTACAGGTGTAAAAAGAGACATGAATGCAGAAGATGTTTATAGAAAAGCCCTTCAAAATTGCACTCCTTTTGCAAATACAGCACTAGCTAGGGCAGTGTTTCTCAACTTTGGCAACTTTAAAATGTGTGGACTTCAACTCCCAGAATTCCCCAGCCAGCCTTGCTGGCTGGGG